GCGGCCCCCCCCCCCCCCCCCCCCCCCCTTTTTTGTTTTTTTCAAAGGGGGGGGGGATTTTTTTAAGAAATTTCCCGTTGGGGGGGAAAAAAGGGCGCAACCCCAAATTTTCCCCCCCTTTTGAAACCCTCCCATTGTTGGGGGAAAAAAAGAGGGCCCCCGGTTTTCCCCTTACCCGAGGGTGCCCTTTTTTTTTTTTTTTTGCAAAAAATTTGAAAAACCCCCGGGGCCCATTTTTCAAAAACAGTTGGGGAAAAAACCGTTTTCAAGGCCCTCCCCCCCCCCCCCCCCCCCCCCCCCTAAAAACCCGAAACAGTTGGATCTAGACCTGCCATCATCAACATCACCCCAGAACAACATTTGGACCGAGACGGTTTCAGGAGGAGGAGGAGGAGGAGGGGGCTCCGCGTGGGGATCAGGGACCGGGGGGTTCGACTCATCAAACGGCGGAGGTGCGACCGAGCGTGTTATCTTCCGTACTATGTTGTGGTTGAGGTCTTTTCACCTCACATCAACTCATCACTCGCGATACGGAGACCCCGTTCTTTGTCCTCGGCGAATCCGAGACATCGATCTGTGAACGGGAGGGCTTTAGGACAATGTGGGGGCAGGGTGTACTCATACTCATAGTCGTGGGTGCCGTGGATCGTTAGACCATTGACCTCGCATCCCTATAAAGCCGGGACAGAGCACGCCGGTTCTCACAGACCAGGCTCTCAAGGTGGGGGCGGGGAGGGGGGGGGTTCTCTAGCTGTTTGCGTGACTGCTTTTATCTTACATGCACAATCACGCCCATCCTAAAAAGCTCTACTATGAACGTTGTCCCCGAGGCATATCTCATTTTCTCTGTTCGGCACTACCCGGCATCGACTATTATGGTGTTAAATGTAGGATACGAAGTACCTATTCTTGCGGTCAAGCGTCTCGTGCTTTGGCTTTTTTACAGGTTCTCACTCTCATAGCTTCCTAAGTGGCGCGGCGCGTACGTCGTGCTGTTGTTATCTTGATTGAAACTTGTTTTTCTATAGGAAGAGGAGGAGGAGGAGGAGAAGAAGGAGGCGCTGGTGGTGCCTGGGGCACGGCGGGAAGCCGCGGGCAACGGGGAACCGGGGGGGCCGCAGGCGGGAGGGGGGGCGGGGCTTGGGGCGCGGGGGGAGGTGGGGCGGTGCCGCCGGCCCCGGGAGCGGGAGTCACGGTGTTGGAATCAGCCCTGTCAGCGTTGTTCGGAGGCGAGGCTGTGGCGGGGGTTAAGGGGAAGAGGAATTTGGAGGTACGTGGGAAGAGCGGGGGGCTCGCGATTGGGCCGGCGGTAGGGTTTTCGTGAGGGTGATTCTGTCCCCGTACACCCGCGTTGCAGATCCCACAGAATGCAAAAAAATGTGGCAAAGGGGCTCCGCGAAAATCGATGGTACCCCGTGTGAGCCCCCATGATGGGTTGCCCTGTGACACCATCGTGTGCCCACCTTTTTCACGTCTGGTGCTCCTCACACAGATGGTTACGTGCCATGAAACCTGCAGGATACCTCAAGCATGTTGTGTTCTACTCGCGCAGACATTTGGTTTGCCCTGGTTTCGCTCTGAACCTGGCAAATGCCGTGCTATCAAAAGTGGAAAAGCTGTTGCTTCAAGCCCGTTTCGCAGCTGTCAGCACCAAACTTCACGCTGCTACAACACGCATGCGAAGGAGTTGACGAATTCGCTCGAGACTCGCCAGAGTACATCGCCAAAAAAACAAAACAAAAAATAGGCAAAGGTAGCATTGAGGGGTTTGTGCAATTTTGGATGGCCACTACGAGGGTCGTTCAAGTGAAGCACTCTATCGACTAAATATGGACCAAACGCGCCCCACACGTCTACCTCCAATTTTGTTTGGAATTCTCCGGCAAGTTCCCCCGAAATTTGACCTTCAACGCTCTGCACGCACTCAACGATCCCGTCCAATTTTTTTATGGCACCACGCTGTAGAGACATATCTAAAGTTGCTTTAGGAGGTTGGCAACATTTTGGTTCGCCACTATAGCCGGAGTTGTTGATGATTAACTGTCCCATAGAAATCTGGCCGCTGCGGGGGCTCCGCGTGATCGATGCCTTGTCGTAGTCAAGAAAAAAAACGTTTTTTGTGGGGACTTGCAACACGTGTGCGCATGGCAAGCGTGTGGGGCGCGTTGTTCGCGTGTTGTTGTGTGCTGTTTTTGGGTGGCGTCGTCCGCGCTACCCCACCGGCCGATAATAAAAGGGTCATGTCTTGAAAAGGGGGGCCAGTGAAGGCGATATCACGCGTTCTAATGTGTCCTACCCAAGACGCATACATCGATCTACCGCACGTGTCCGATTCCCTGCCCGATCGTATGCTGTGTCCTTGTCCATGTCATGTTTGTGACAGGTGAAGGCGTCACGAACGCTTACTCTAGAGCAGGCCCCCAAGGTACTAACGCTGCACCTGAAGCAGTTCTCGTTCCACCCAGAGCTTGGCCCGCGCAAGCTCGCCCGGCGCGTCAGGTGGGTGCTCAATGCTTGCCCGTTCTTGGTTGTTCTTCGCTAGATGCCTCGACTCTCTTGGCTGCTGCTTTCGTTAAATGTAGTTGTTGATTGTATGTGCCATCCAGTAACCTTCGAAGGGTTTTTTATTAAGTTAAACATGTTTAATTAAGTATGCGATCGGGGAAGTTGGGTAAGGGGTAGGGTTAGGGAATACGGTCCGCGTACCCCCTTCTATTTCCTCTAAACACTTAATTTCCCGCGCAGGCGGCCCGCGCTATCAATGAGCTTGTTTGTTGGCTCTCATCGTGGCCACGTACGTTCGCATTCTCCCGTGAAAAAAACAAACAAGCAGGTATCCTCTGGAGCTGACGGTGCCAACACTGGTCATGTCCCCCTCTCTCCGACACGAGGCCTCCATCAAGGGACCGCTCAAGTACCGCCTATTCACAGTAGGTGAGAAACTGTAGCTGTTGGAAAGGGTACGAACCGCAACACGCAGGACTGACTGCTGTGTCATCGATCGGGGACTCCAATCGAGACCCAGTGTAGGCTTGTCAGAGTCCGTGACGTACGCCCAAACCTCGCGCGGGAGTTTGTTGGTGTCAATATATGCTGCTGCTGCTGCTGCTGCTGCTGCTGCTGCTGCTGCTGCCGGGTACAAGGTATGACCGGCAGGTCGGTGTAACCCCCATGTGCACCCCGTTCAATCTCGTTTCTCCTCGAATCGTGGTAGCCACCAAGCGTAGTTCGACGCGTGAACCCCTACGTGCTCTCCACCCCAGCGTAAACGGTTTGAGATGGCCTTTATCGGACACATAGGATATATATGTCTCCCATTCTCTCTCTCCCCCGTCCCAAGCGCCTCCAAACTATCACCGCCTCATCCCCCTCTCTTCCAACGCCTCCAACCCCCCCTCCCCCCCTTCCTAAACTCCTCCAGTATGTCTCCCCCCCTCCTCCCAAACGGCCAGTGGTCTATTATTACAACTAGGGCTGCTAAACCTGAGTAGAGGCATGCTAGTTCGTGTGTACACAGAGGGAAGAGAGTGCTGAACTCTTCTCGCATTAAAAATTGAAGGCGAAGTACCGCAGGAGGGGAGGGTAGAGAGAGGCTCTTCTGTGTGACCACGGGTTAGAATAAACGGCACTAGTGCTGTGAGCGCTGATTTGAAGTGAAGAACAAAAAAAAAAAAAAAAAAAAGCTAAAACATGATCCCCCCCCCGCCCTCTTCCCTCCCCAGTGTTGCATCACGGGCGAAGCTTGCACGGGGGTCACTACACCGCCCTCGTGCGAGACCCTCGGGGGGAGTGGAAGCACTACGACGATCAGCACGTGACGCCGGAGATGGAAAGCCACGCTCTCAACCCCATGAGCGGGCACCCGTACCTGCTGCTCTACACCCGCATGTAGACGAACAAGAAGTGCTTTGGTGGGGCTCTTGGTGCTACTCGTGTTGATGCCGCTGTTAGTAGTACTGCCGTTCTACTATGCATGGCCATGTATGCGCTTGGTGTACCCTTTGCATGTTGTTCGCCGTTGAATGCTTCGGGACGATCTACCTGATGATGTTGTACTACTATTGCTGCTGTACTGCTACAAGTATGCATGTATTCGCCTGACACACCCTTTTGCGCGTTGTTCGACTTTGACACTGCAGCAGTAGGAGTAGTCGTAGACCCTCTGCAGGACCTTGTGTGTGCATGTGAGAGACGTGTTAGGGGCTCCAGTTCAACATTCTTTCGATGTCGGTCTCCATGCCGGATAAAACTGCTCGGAACGCACGGACCAATTTTTCACGCCCACGGCGGTGGTAGGCATTGTGTGACGTCCCTTCCTTTCTTCCCATACCGCCAAAATTGTGCGAGTGCCTGCCTTGCTTGCGACCAATTTCACAGCTACTTGGTCCATCGTGCGGGTGTGTCAGCGAAATACAATGTTTTTCGCGGCCGAAACGGCGACATTGGCGTACATACATACCCGCGTGTTCGAGGGCCCTCCACCGCCCTCCACCGTCCGTGTCTACACTCAACACCGAGAGGGGCAGATTGGACAACAGTACCGTAGGTTGCATGATGTAAGATACCACACCCCAAGGACCGATTTTCAAACCTCGATTAGTTTTTTTTTTTTTTTGTTCTTCACTTCAAATCAGCGCTCACAACACTAGTGCCGTTTATTCCAACCCGTGGTCACACAGAAGAGCCTCTCTCTACCCTCCCCTCCTGCGGTACTTTACCTTCGATTTTTAATGCGACAAGAGTTCAGCACTCTCTTCCCTCTGTGTACACACGAACTAGCGCTATCCACTTGGCCAGGAGCGGAAGCGAGAGAAAAACTCACTTTGCAAGAAAAGCTCGCTTACGCCGGGATTCGAACCCCTGACCTGGCCTCTAGAAGGTTACGAGGCTACCAACTAGACCACGAGGGCGACCATGCTACTCCACGACCAAGAGGATGCCGAAGGCAAACGAACGATGTTCGAAAAGCTCTAGACGGGACGGTTCACACTCCGACATTTTCGGCACCGTCACTTGTTTTCCTTGCCGAGTAATCGAGCTTTGAGAATCGGCCCAGGGTGTGTGATATCTTACGTCTGCAACCTACGGTAGTCGACCGCTCGATCCATCTGGTTTGGAACAGTCGGTACTCTCACGTGAGGGGCATGCTCGATGTCGCACTCACAACAAGCTTTTTTTGGGCCTTTTCGCGTCGAGTTGTGTGGGGGCGGAAAAAAACAAGACAGAAAAAAGAAAAACAGCTGTCTGGGAAATCGTAGACATACAGGTAGCTTTTCCCGACGCTATGAATTCATTGCTAATCTGTCTTTGACTCTTTTCTATGATAGAGATGAATTCGTTGTGTCATACAGTATTAAGAAAAATATTAAAAAAAACAGCGGGAGGAAGCAGAAAACGTTACATGGGAAGGAGGGACGAAAGGTTGGACTGACTCACAACATCTCGTTTTCCATATTTTGTGCGTCCGCCCTCTCTCTCTTTCCTCTTCCTCGTGTTGCATTTCCTGTTTCCTCCTTCTGTTGATTCTTTTTCGGTTCGCATGTGTTTGGGTTTGATTCGCCTCCACGCGCGGCACGAAGAGGGCAAAAAAACACAAATTTGTTGCCGGGGTGTCCGTCATGTGAGAGTATCGAGCGTTCCAAGCTGCGCTTCAACAATTACCTCTAAAATATTGGTCTTCACTGACTGGAGACGAACGAGCGGGTCCTGGGTAGCATACTCTGTACAGTACCACAACTTTTCGCTCCTTCTCCGTGGCTTTCGCTTGGTTGCAACGCGTGATTGCAACGCGACGGTGCGGTATGACGAACACACCCACCCGCACAGGAAAAATACATCAAGACACACCAAGACTTGTACATACAGATAAAACCAGTCGAAAGGGATGTGTTGAAGTCTATAGTTACAGTGAGTGGAGAGGAATTCCAATTTTTTGGTTAGAAGGGGAGAAACGCATAGCATCGATTTCTCAGTCTGGGGACAACATGGACCAGTGCTGCGCAAAAACTTCCCGCGCCGAACTGAAAATAAGGCACGACGCAGTTAATTACCGTCCTCCGATAGAACTCCTCCATCGGACCCTACTACATACAGGCAACCTTTAGACGAAACACTTAAAAACGAAACATATGTGCACATGCATAAAACCGTGTGCGAATCGCTGAAGTATCGCACCAACTAAACAGTAGTCTTCTCTCGCTTCCCCAACATGATACCCGTCACTCACTTCACGCCGACAACTAAACAACCACAAATCAGTCCCCAAAAGAACCAACGCCATGCCGACGCTAAACGGATCAACAAACCAAAGCCATTCATTCCTCCACCTCCCCTCGTCCGTGATGAAAAAAATGGGTATGGCGACATCACCAGCGCGAAAACAACAGGAAACAAACACGCTGAGGCATTGCATGCACTTTACTGATAGAGCGGAGCGTGACGACGATATGTACCTGAGAGAGAGGTTCGCAGGCGTAGCAAAAGACGAGACCTTCCGTTCCGTCCGGTGAACAAAAAACCAAAACAAAGAAGCTCACCTCCATAAGTTCCGTCCGGTGAACAAAAAACCAAAACAAAGAGGCTCACCTCCATAAATCAGTCTCCGAGAGGAGAAACATACAGATAGATGCCAAACGAACAAGGGGGCACGGTACATGTCAACCTTTAATAGCCTACCCACCCCAGGCATCCTCCAAACCTTTGATTCCTCGGAGCCCCCTACTTCCCCCCCCGAAGCTTGTCCCCCGCCCCTCATAGTTTCTTGCTCGTGTCAACAAGCGTGGTGGGGTGACGGTTTTCTCGTCAAAACCCTCGCTCCCGCCAGACCCGTCGAAACAAACAACAAAATATCTCTCCAACGTGCAAAATTCGCGGCTTGGATACGGACACCCTCCATCCCGACAATTAAGGCGAGGGCGCCGCCTGCCATGTCGGTCGAAACCCCACAGACGCCATTGTCTATGGCCTGTCAATGTCACGACCACGACCAACCACGACTATTGATACACATGTGTCTCGTCACTCAAGCCGACCCCCCCCCCCTACGCGCTTTCCGCCAGCGTCTTCTCGTACAACTTCTTCTGCTTCTCCCACTCCTTCTTAAGCTTCTTGATGGCGCTCTTGCTGAGCGGCTCTCCCGACTTGTCGGTGGTGGGAACCCCCTGGTCGTCGAAGGCCGAGTAGAGGTCGGTCATGGACAAGAACATCTCCTGCGGGGGCACGCGCTTTCTCGCTTCCTTTTCCGCCGCCTGGCGAGCCTGCGGCGACGAAACGTAACAGGGCAAACGCACACAAGAAAAAAGAAGAAAAAAATTAAGAGGAAAATGGCGAAAAAAAAACACGAAAGAGGACGTGCAAGACGATGTAAGCCGACAACAGCGACACACCCACAAAATAAATGCTTCGGATTAGTAAGAAATCACGCACACACATGACAAAAGAATTAAGATCGAGAAGGCGAAGAAATGAACTATAATAATTATATATACCACAAATAATACAAGGTGAAAAATCGAAAAGAAGAAAGAGCCCGAAGGTTTACGAGCGTGTGTGCAAAACCATGTCGGGACGGATGGCGTCTGCTGCTGTCTACAGATGTACTTCTGTTCTATTACACCAACAGAGTTTCATGCAAGTTTCGTTGCATCAAAGACACGTAATAAAAACCCTCTCTGGGCATTTGTACACCACATAACCACAACAATTTACCCACCTGTATCTCTTTGCGGCTCTTGTCCTTCGGCACCGTACTCTTCCCCGTAGCCTCCTTGAGAGTTACCGTTCGGTTCAGGACCAGCAGCTCTGGCGTAGAGTCCTTGTCCACCACGAAGAATCCGATGCGTTCCAGCTGTATCGCGCCCGCCGCCGGGATTTCCCATCAAGGGTTGGTACGGAAAACCCGCCAAATTTAGCGGAAAAAAACGAAGCGGGGGTTAAGCGGCAGAGACAGTTTCGCGGCCGAGGTTTCCACCGAGGGTACGTGCGGAAAATCCACGAGTTCATTCGCGGGACGACATAAAAAACTCTAAAAACAGAAGCAGGCGTGTACGCGGCAGAAACAGTACGGTAGAGGCGTAACTGGTGGAAAGCATGACAACAGAGACTGGTGGAAAAATGAAACAGTGCTTAGCATGTCGATTTCTGGACATTCACATCCAGAGGGCAGTCGATGACAGAATCGAATGCGAGAGGGGCACGGCAGAAAAACGGTTGCTGTGTGTGTGCGGGGGGTTTCATGGGATACTGATTTGTGTTTTTAGTCTTGAAAATTTTGGCCTGTGCGCAGGACACCTGAAACAGTCATCTCGTCTACAGATCCGACTACAGTCTACACCTGCAGCGAAACGTTGCTCCACATACTCCGTTGCACACGTATGTAGTATTTACATATTTCGGCTACAGCAGTAGCTCGGTGAGAAAAACAACGGTAGGCGACAGACAGCAAGACAGACGTGTTTTGAAATCTCACCTGAAGCGGAGTGCCCACCGAGTGTTCCTTCTCTAGCACGGAAGGGTCGATCACAGCCCCGGTCATGACGCACTCAGATTCCGGGTTGATCTGCCTCGGTGTCAACAACGGCGCAGACAGGCGGACAGGCAAGTCAGACGGACATAGAACGGGCGTTCACAGACAGCGGCGAGGTGGCGTGCTGGCCAGGGAGGTCGCGAATACGCTAAAAAGTACACTTACTGGTTGCCTTGGCTGGTCGAGCATTAACATAACCGCGCATCTCTCTCGGGACGGTGCTTGGATGGATTGTAGGTACGAGGTGGTGGGGAGCGGGGTGACGAACTATCACGGCATAGTCAGCCCTGCCAAACACAAAGCGAAGAGACCAGAAGCACAAGACACAAGACTATCGAGTTGCATCTCCCCGTAGATGCATCTCCCCGTAGAGCCAGCCAGGTCATCGTGACAACTGCACGCGATGTTTGGTCATGGCCTGGCCCTGTCTCCCAGCTGCACAATTTCCCACAGGATCGACACGAGTTCAAAAATTACAAAAAAAGAAGAAGCACCTGTTCTTCCCACTTGTCGTCCGGAGAGTCCACTGTGAAGAGATGGTTGTACAGTCGCACTTCCGCCCGCACCGCCTCCTCCGCAGAAACCCAAGAAATGTTACCCTTCGGCCGAACCGGAGGACGTTTCGCCGTTTCGCCGCCTCCCGCATCCCCAGCAGGAGCCGAAGCAGCTTCCGAAGAAGGTTCCTGGGAAAGGTCTCCAAGGCTGCAGATGAGCTCCGCAGGGGGTGCGTCCTTGCCGCCCTCGCCGTCGACAACCTCGTCGCACCGCATGGTGGCGCTGCAGTACTTGAGCCCGACCATCTGACACCCCCCCCAAGAAACAAACATGCGTGAGGTTGATTCATTTGGTTTGGTCTCTCGGCTCGATTGACGCTTACAAAAACATTGACGATTGACGATTACAAAAACATTGACAAAACACTCGGGCACGTACGGTTTTGGGGGGATTCGCTGTTGCTCCGGAGCAACAACATCAGTAACAGCAGCACAACAACAACGACGACGACGACGACAACAACAACAAGCACATCAACACCAGCAGCACCAAAAATAACTAACAATGGAACACCACCAACATCACAACGACATCAACCAAGTCTCACCTTGCCCGGGGCGAGACCAAAGTAGTCCTTCGAGTCCTCTCTTCTGAAGTCCGAAGCGTCGATGAACAACGTCTTGGTCAGTCGGATCTTGTGCGACCCTCTCTCCGGTGCAAACGGCACGTCCAACGCCTCTACCTCCCTCGCCTCCTCCAGATTCGAGAGGGTAACCTTGATGGGCGACAGCGCACCCATCACTCGTCGGGAGGAAACGTTGAGGCCCGATCTCGCCCAGTGCTCCAGCTTTTCCACCTCTATCAGGTTGTCGTTCCTGAGTGAGGAGAAGGGGGGGGCGGCACTCTTATGTGTCATGCCTTAGCGGTTAGACCATTGACCGCGCGTCCTTGGGAGGACGGAGCACTGTTCCCACGGGACCAATCACCGATGGCCAATCGTTCCGGAGGGGGGGCACTCATTTGTTGGTTGGGCAAGTCATGTGCCATTGTCTACGAAGGATTCTTGCTAGACCCGGGCGGTTCCTACCGCCAACGGAGGACTATTCCTCGTTAAGTCACCTGCAACGATCCGGTGCTCTGTTTGTGTGCCTTCCATAAATTACATAGCAAGGGGTGGGGTGATGGTGTAAGAACGGGCGCAAGCCTGCGGCTACGTTATCCTCAACGTTGTGCGCGATTTTAGCACAACAGGGACGACCAGCCCAGCCTCTCCTTTTCTTCGCCGTTCCATGCCTGTCTGTCGGCTAACGTCTATCACTGCTCCGCTTCTCCGTTCCCTACCTCCAATGACGAAAGCACAACAGCAGCAACACCAACAACACAAGACTGGTGCTTAACTTCACGCCAGCAGCAACAACGCCACCGGCCACAAAAAAAACGCCAGCACCAACACAAGACTGGTGCTTGGATACCAGCAGCCACCGACGATGAACAAACAACACCAGCAACCAACAATTCAAGACCACGGAACGCCAGCAGCAACACCACCGCTCAACGATGAAAAACAAATATCAACAACGCCAACAATGCAAGCCTGGTGGCTACCAGCAGCAGCAGCACGCACACCAACAATTCAAGACTGCAGAACACCGGCAGCAACACCACCTCCGAAAATACGACAGGCTGACACCTGCTGTACATTGTACATACCTGGTGACGCCGATATCCTCGCAGAACCTGTTGAGGATCTCCGCCGTGTAGCCGCGTCTTCTTAGCCCCTTGATCGTCGGCATTCGCGGGTCGTCCCAGCCTCTCACCTTGCCACCCTTCACCAGCTTCAAGAGCTTCCTCTTCGACAGCACCTGTCGAGCGATCGGTCAGTGTTGGGGGACGAGGGTGAAAACAAGAGCAAATTTTGACTTTTGGAAGTGGTGTAAATATATGTTTTTCCGTCAACAAACGATTACTTGTACAGGTGTGTGTATGCGTGTTTTGCTTTGTTTCTTGCGTGAGGAGCCACAAGGCAGTACAGTCGTGGGTCCGACATTAGACGGTCGAAATCGATTGTCACGGACTCGACCCTCTCTAGTATAGTTGAGAACTCTCTTATTCCGGTACAAGAGGGCGCTCCGATATAAGAGGCTCGAGGGCCTTTGTAGCACCACCCCCTCATATCGGAACCACGGCCGTACGGGTAAATGCTTTGGTGTGTTAATCAACCAACGAATAGCAGCAAGAGCTCACCGTCCGGGTGATGTTGAGCCTCGCGAACTCGTAGACCTTGGGTCGGTACAGGTCAAGCGCCTCCAATAGCCAGTAGTACGACTCTCGTCGAGTCTCGAACTCCAGTGTGCAGATCGAGTAGTCGATGTCTTCCAGGCTATTGAGTATTGGCACGCACACACAAGTTTTCAGAAGAAGAGAAGAGCAAGGTACGAGCTTGTCACCATCAGAACACGGCAGCCTGACCGCCTGCCACAATTCCAGCTCTTCGTGGTGTACTTGCGTCATTTTTCTTTGGGGAATGGACAAAAGTGGGTGTACCCCGGTTGTCTAGTTGGTAACCTTGAACCCTTCTGCGGGTCAGGTCAGGGGTTCGAATCCCGTCGTAAGCGAGCTTTTCTTGCAAAGTGAGTTTTTCTCTCGCTTCCGCTCCTTCGTGTGTACACAGAGGGAAGAGAGTGCTGAACTCTTCTCGCATTAATAATCGAAGGCAAAGTACCGCAGGAGGGGAGGGTAGAGAGGGGCTCTTCTGTGAGACCACGGGTTGTGGAGTAAACGGCACTAGTGCTGTGAGCGCTGATTTGAAGTGAAGAACAAAAAAAAAAGACATCTACGTCCATCCCGTACAAAACTGGTTACTCGAAAATCCAGCTCGCGCGCACTCCATAAGCGACCCCCAAACGACTCAAAACCCCATTCTGATACCTGGGCGACACAGCCAGGGACCATACACAGCACGGGCATCGATTTTTTCCCACTTTCATGCACGTCTTTGGCCCTAATACCTGCCCACTTCTGTCCGACATCGTGGTGGGTATACCCAGCGGCGTCTACTATTTTTTTCACGTACCCACTAATGTCTGTATTTTGACCCACTTCTGTCCACTTGTGGACGGCGGAAATCGAATGGAAATCGAACGGATCTCGACCTCCACGTCACCGCACGGCAGAACGTCTAGTAGCCTCGGAACGTTTCAGAACTCAGAACCTCCCAACACCGTATCCATGGCCGCCCACTGCGGACCGACCGCCGAGGGACATGTCAGAAATATGCCAGACCCCTTCGGTACCGGCACGGGAAGATACCCGCGGCAAGCCCAGCAAGCAGCGCACTACGGCACGGCACGGCACAAATGAATGCGCGACACACGACGGACAACAAACCAACGGGTCGCGCATACAGCAACAACACAGATACACACGCACGCCACACACACACAAAAAAAAAACACCACGACGAGTTCACACCGACTCGTGAGGGCAGCAGCATGTCTAGGCAGTTTGCCCTGCAGGGCGCCCGCGCAGGGTCAAAAGCGCGGGCGCACCTCTGTCAACTGCTGGCGGCGCGATGGTTGAAGGGGCAACTTTTTCGACGTCGGTCGACTTCAAACGGGCGTTCGAGCGCTGCACGATCTTAAAGCCGGATGTCGCCTTCCCAGCCATCAGTGGGGCTTGCCCCGACCGCCACTAACCCTCTTGTCCAGCCTGCACTGCCTAGACTTTGAGATCGTGCAGCGCTCGAACGCCCGTTTGAAGTCGACCGACGTCGAAAAAGTTGCCCCTTCAACCATCGCGCCGCCAGTAGTTGACAGAGGTTCGCCCGCGCTTTTGACCCTGCGCGGGCGCCCTGCACAGGGCAACCTGCCTAGACATGCTGCTGCTGCCCTCACGAGTCGGTGTGCACTCGTCGTGGTGGTTGATGTTTTTTGTGTGTGTGGCGCGCGTGTGTATATATGCTGTTGCTGTATGCGCGTCTTTTTGTTCTGTATGCGCGACCCGTTGGTTTGTTGTCCGTCGTGTGTCGCGCATTCATTTGTGCCGTGCGGTGGCGTGCCGTTAGTGCGCTGCTTGCTGGGCTTGCCGCGGGTATCTTCCCGTGCCGGTACCGAAGGGGTCTGGCATATTTCTGACATGTCCCTCGGCGGTCGGTCCGCAGTGGGCAGCCATGGATACGGTGTTGGGAGGTTCTGAGTTCTGAAACGTTCCGAGGCTATTTGATGTTCTGCCGTGCGGTGACGTGGAGGTCGATTTCCGTTCGATTTCCGCCGTCCGTAAGTGGACATAAGTGGGTACAATTTGGACAAAAGTGGGTCAAAATACAGACATAAGTGGGTACGTGAAAACATTAGTGGACGCCGCTGGGTATACCCACCACCGTGTCGGACAAAAGTGGTCACTCTGGTGAGACCTTGCGCGCCCCGGCGGTATTAGGGCCAAAGACGTGCATGAAAGTGGGAAAAAATCGATGCCCGTGCTGTGTATGGTCCCTGGCTGCGTCACCCAGGTGTCAGAATGGGGTTTTGAGTCGTTTGGGGGTCGCTTATGGAGTGCGCGCGAGCTGGATTTTCGAGTACCCACTTTTGTCCGGACCCACTTTTGTCCGGCCATGACGTGGGTATACCCACTTTTGTCCATTCCCCTTTTTTTCCAGAGTCAACGTTACGCCGTTCTCCATCTGCCGGTCCGCAAAGAAAACGGATAAGCACCTTCCAGACGCAGCAGCATGTAGCACAGCTATCCGTAGGTGAACCAAACAACAATCCTTTACTTCGGATAGGGGAAGTTTTCGTAGCAAAAAACAAAATAATGGCGAGCGATTGCCCCCTCCCCAAAAAACAACGACACTCACTACATTTCATTTTCTATGTTTCATCTTACCTGTCCACTAGGCAGTGCGTGTAGTCGTAGGTGGGGTAGACGCACCACTTGTCACCGGCGTGCGGGTGCGGGATGTACCGCACGCGGTAGGCCACCTGGTCCCACATGTTGGGGTTGGGCGAGGTCATGTCCATCTTTAGCCGTAGCGTCGCGGACCCTTCGCCCATCTGGCCCGTCCGCATCTTTTCGAACAGATCCAAGCTTTCCTAAAAACGATAGGCAGGCAGGCAGGCAGACACATTGGACAACGTAAATGACACGGACAGACAGAAAAAGAAAACATTTTGCCGAGACCCAAGCGGTACGTACAAAGCTTTGGGGCAAGTCCCCTGAACAAGGGGGATTTTACGAACACGTCTCTAGGGCGGACAATGGCGTACGTTCGGTCGGCGTCAACCCAGGACCCTTGACCAGGGTGAAGGACGAGTAAGCTCAGCTTGAACTTCGCACACTTTGTGGCACGTATCACAGGCCTGGTACCCGCCGCCAAGCCCTTCGCGGATTCTTCCTCGCGTCCAAACCCCACGCCCAAACATGATGCCTCACGTCCCTGAATAGTGATGCAACCGCACTGCTTTATTATTTGCCCCCATTAACCGACGCGGTGCTGGCATCTATTTTAGACCGTCCCTGATATATGTCCCAATGGCTGACAACAAAACAAAAAAACACACACACCTCACGAATATATTATTACCGTAGTACTTGAGGTAGAGAGAACGGCACGGATTTTAATGTCAAGACAACAACAACAACAACAACAACAACTCGCTTAAGAGGGTCAATAGAAGCGCGCTCGTGCTTTTCTCACATGCTTCAAAGGTAAGGGTTTCCTACGTACCTGCACAGGCCTGTTTCTCCAGGGGCTGCACGGGTCGCCGGCGTTAGCGTTGGGGTCCGCGGCGTTGACCTTGGCGATCTCCCGGCACTTGAAGATGTCGTCCTTGGTCTGGTGGCAGACGTACGCTTTCCCGCCCTGCACAAACACAATTAGACCAGGTAACAATTTACTAAAGACGACAAAACTAAAGGTGATGGAAGGATAAAAAACAAAATATACGCATCAGAAAATTATTTGGTACCACGGACTACTAGACAAATCAAGCACGTGGAAACACAAGGACACCGGGCAAAGAAATAAGACGCCGAAAGAGAGCAGAAAAATCAACGCACCAGATAGTCATGCAACGGTAAAGGGGAAAGCAAGTCACGCTGCATATGAGTAAATCGCATAGCAAATCCTTGCAAAAAACACGCGGCGCAAGAAAAAATAGAGCGTGTTCGGAAAGTGCATCTTATGTAAGCATGAGGAAAAACTAGACACGAAACACAAGAGCAAAAACAGCATCTGGAACACGAGGCTATTCACAGATATGCCCCCCATCGCTTCCGAACAATTCTTAAAATCCCATTGCTTCTGTACGGATACATGACAAACCCAAAACCTGCTTCAACCTTCCACCGTTTTGATTAGAGGCTGGACTGCGACAATGTCGAATAGGAATATTGGACAAGACGTGAACAGCTTTCAGTCGACCAACCATGCCCGCCATTTCATAACTCACTCATTGATTTGACCTTCGTGGTCGTAGACATCGTGTACAACACACACTGAAGAGCACGCGGCACGCTTTCGCCCACAAGCGAAAAGAACCGCAAAAACCAACCCCATTGACAGACCTGCAGTACTCCTGTGCACACACACACACCCTCCTTGTTTGCCCTCTCGTGCGTACCTCGATGAGCTTGATGGCCATGTCATACAGCAGCTGGAACGAGTCTGACGAGTACGTGGTCTGCACCGGCTTCCATCCCATCCACTCCAGGTCCTCCCGAATGGACTGTTGACAGCATACGGCATCGTTTCAGCAGCAACAACACTTCTTTGTCCCTTTATTGTTACAGGGCACGCTCCTTGCGTGACACCAACATAAGTAATGTATCACATTTGTTTGTTGCTGTCATGGTTTCGATGATTCTTTGGAGTGAAGATAAAAATTCGTAAAACTACGAGAGGTTTGGTGCCTTTGACCTCCCCTGTTCTCAGCAGAAAAACAGCCGCAACGAAAAGAAGAGGCGAGGGGGCGACGCGGTTTCACGCCTTGGTGCTTGGTACCGCGTTCTCCTTCTCAGTTGGACATGCCTTCGAAATTTTTACCCGAGACAAGCTTCATGGCCAATATAAATATTTACACCACGTCAATGGAACCGTTGATCCTTGCATTCCGACAAAAAAAAATGGTGCATTGAAGGGGAGTTTAACATCTTAGAGTGGTATTTAGGTTGTAGGTGGACATATCAATCCGTTCTCCATCGGAAATTAAAACATATTAAGGTCACCAACGTCGAGCGGGCGAAGGAAACGGAAAAACTCCGCCGGATTCTCTCGCCCATAGCGCCCATAAAGTTCGGCTTGAGGGTTGTCGTCACATGGAGAGATGAAGCGAACTGCGATCAAGAAAAAAAAAATATATAGGCTGCGTTCTACAAGCCGAGAGCTGCCGAAAGACAGCAGCTACCGTTTGAGGTGTTTCATTATTTCTGTTTCATAAAACTTGGGTTTGGGGAACAGATACATGGGAGCAAACAATGAGGATTGAGGATACTCTGTTTTTCTGCAATGCCCCCTCCTTCACTTCAACGCATGTCAAAAGCGTGCGGGTAACGTTCAACTTGAAACAACACGATTTCAGTGTAATACTCTCCATCGGAAATTAAAACATATTAAGGTCACCAACGTCGAGCGAGCGGAGGAAACGGAAAAACTCCGCTGAATTCCCCCGCCCATAGCGCCCATAAAGTTCGGCTTGAGGGTTGTCGTCACATGGAGAGATGAAGCAAACTGCAAACCAGAGAAAAAAAACAAAGATCCACAACAAACACGAAAATGCAGCGTGGTCACCGCCACCGCCACGGACATCAAAAACACACCATTCCGGATATCGCTACTTCTCCGGAGCGAGACTACATCCGCAACGAAAGCCCAGTCCAAATCCCTCTTCGCTGGTGTTTCCGTGCTATTATAGCACAGGTACGTGTTAATTCCGAGGTGCGTCTCCCCTCTCTAACCCCGTCGAATTTATCATACATCAAATCATATCATACATACACTCACTCCTGTCTCGGTTTTGATCCCCCGGGGGGGGGCATGATACTGCTGTACACACACAGCACCCCAAAATAAAAACATGCTGCGTGCGACAAGCCGCGTGCTGCCGAAAGACAAAAAGGTTGCCGTTTGAGGTGTAATTGCACTACGGGCACTCTTCGACTGTTGGTTCAGGAAACACGTCTATGGGGAGCAATAATAGTAGGGGTTTGATTTGCTCTGCGATGCCCTCCTCCACTTCACCGCATGTCAAGAGTGTGCGGTAACGGTGAACAAAAACAACATTATTTCAGTGTGATGCTCTCCATCGGAAATTAAAACATATTAAGGTCACCAACGTCGAGCGGGCGGGGGAAACGGAAAAACTCCGCTTAATTCCCCCGCCCATAGCGCCCATAAAGTTCGGCTTGAGGGTTTTCTTCACGTGGAGAGAGGAGGTGGTAATGTTCGACGAAAAAACGAAAAGAAAAAGCACGAACACTGGAATTGGAGTATTGGAGATAACGTTTAGTGGGTCAGACGTCTACTAATATATCTTCGTTCTCCATCGGAAATTAAAACATATTAAGGTCACCAACGTCGAGCGGGCGGTGGAAACGGAAAAACTCCGCTGATTTCCCCCGCCCATAGCGCCCATAAAGTTCGGCTTGAGGGTGGTCGTCACTTGGAGGAACGGAGAGAGAGGCCATTGGAATTGCGAAAACCAGGGAAAAACACGCTTGGAAGTCACACATGGAAGGCTCTTCTAAGGCACTTTGATCAGCGAAAATCACAAAGCCGGGGCATGATTTGTCACCAAGGCCCCTATGAAGGCTCCTTCCTTCGTGTTTTACGATCCCGTTTACGTAACCTCCGTCAATTGTTTGTAGCTTTGTCACCAACAAGCCAACGGACACCTACAAATACACACACAACACATTACCAACTCATGTTCCCTCCATGTAAACACATAAAATACACAAATGCAGATATGACGACAGCTACGACAACAACTCCGGCCGTACACTGGGATGCTAGCAAATTCCCGACCGCGTACACCCCTGTGGTGCTTACGCTGCAAGTACAACAAAGGCAAATGCCACATGTGGTACGTAAGTTAACGGCAGCCAGTCCCCATGAGCACCAGACAATCTCACGTCGACGGGTGGGTCTACCTAGCCAGTCTGTAGGGCAGCAACAGCAGGACTAAATAACTGTTCACTGCGACGTGCCAAACAAGCTAAATAATTAAGTAGACGGGGCAATTTCAACTGCAGAGTCACTCACGTCAATGTACTCCTTGCTCTCCGCCTCAGGGTTAGTGTCGTCTGGCGTGAGAACGATCGCGCCACAATAAGGCGCACGTGCGATTGCGATAAAACAGGACAAGGCGGCAGCAGCAGCGGCAGCAGATTCAGGGGAGAAGCAAGCAGCGTCAGACGAACAAGCCAGAAAATCGCTTGAGGTATACATTACATTCACTCTCGGAACCTTTGTCGTCAAACTTGGTCGGCTTCAGTCATTGCGGTTATGTAGCAACAACGAACTATTGGTCAGTGACACAGAATGCTTGCCATTATCTCAAGGAATGATTTTGTCCTCTTCGGGGAAGCAGGATGCAGCACGCCCGTTCCTCGAGTCTTTCTGTTCTTGCTTCACTGAGCCCATCTCCGAGCAGTCTTCGTTCAAAACGCGAAATTCTGCTTGACTCGTCTACCTGTCTGTCCGTAAACAACAAAGCATCAATCTTTTTCGCAAACCCCAGCCCCACACGAAAACTGCCAAACAAACAAGACAACAAGCAAAAACAGGATGCCCACAACAACAGGAACACTGCAGCATGAAACACACTTCGCGCCCTTTTACATACTCGGGAGTACTCGCTTACCATAGCGGAATACGGTCTCTCGCCTATCCCGCGGCACAGCTTCCTTCTCAAATGCCAGATGGAAGTTCATGTGCATGGACTTGGCGTGTCCGATGTGGAGGTAACCGTTCGGCTCCGGCGGGAACCGGGTCCGGATCTTTTGTTTCGGCAGTGAGGGGGGGGGCACAGGGAATGGGGTGATCGAGTGTGAAACACGGCCAACCAAACAAAGTCCGGGCGACATGGCCAAGGGAGCTTGGGCGCAAACCCCCGGGGAGAAGCAAACAATCAGTCCACCTGTGTGTGGTCCACACTGACCGCAATTCCGTCCCGTAGAGCAGCGGTGGGTACGGTACGGAGGGAGGCGAGCGACGGTCACCGCAGTTGCGTGTTCTGCTCGTCAGAGCCCCAGAAAGTACCATCGTACTGCTGCTGTAGGTTGTGTAAGCTACCAAACACCCCCTGGACCGATATTCAAAGCGCGAATTACTCTGCAGCAGAGACAGAGGTGACGGTGTCGAGGATGGCCGTGTTGGATCCGTCTCGTCGAGATTTCTCCGAAAACGTCCTATTTGATTGTCTTACCACCCTGTTCGTCGTCCGGGTAGTCGGGGTTTGAAAATCGATCCTCAGGAGGGGGTGCAATCTACGGTGACCTCTTGGATGCATCCTTGCGGCGGCGGTGCGGCACTTTGTACCACTTTTTCGACAAAAATAGATGGTAAGAACGTGCCGAATGGATGCTCGCGTAGCCGAGCGTAGACTCGTTTGCAAGTCCGGCACAGTAGTCACACACACATCCAAACATCAGCGAGTACCACCCAACCCCACACGGGTGGTGTGGTCTTGTTTGCCAACATCTTCAAGAACATTTTTGCACTGCTGTGTGTGGGTTGACTCTCCCGGTGTTGTTGACGGGTTTTGAGTGGCGGTGCCAACGTGCAGCCAGCAACACACAGCAACCAGGAAGGGGGAGTGCAGAGCCGACCCGTGAAAGGCACCCGCCCTATTAAGGAAAGTAAGTCATCCCCGGTACGCACACAGACACAGCGGACGGTCCTTGTGGACAGCAGAGCCCGTTGACTGACTGCAGTGAAGATGCGTGCTAGTAGCTGCTTCTGTGCACTTCGTCTTTGCAGCAAACAAACTTGTTGCCCACACCCGCCAACGTTGCACACAGGTCGTGACTAGAGCACACCGCAAAATAGACAGGCTCGGTAAGAGAAGAGATGGCGGCAACTGCCGACCAAGGCGCACACACCTTGCCGCCAGTCCTAGCCACGTGCGCTTCGAGCAGTTCCTTCGAGTTCACTGCGCTCGCCATCTCTCTCGCCGCGAGAGCGGAGGGAGGGCCAGCGGCGGGCGGTGCGTCGGGTGTAGCCATCTCGTCTCTTCTGCACACTACCGCGGTGTGCAAACAGTGGTGCAGACTATCAATGCAGCACCACTTGGTTTGGGCTGTGGTGGCGAAGGCGGCGGATGAGCCTGCGGTGAGCCGGCAGCGGCATTTTGCACACACCCCAGCCGCTCCCTAGGCAACTCTGCGTTGCCCCTTACGCTTCCTCGCTTCGCACTGCTCTGCTACAGCAGTCTACTGCGAGGCATTTACTCCAAGTTGTCTCCAAAAACCCGTCTGTCACACATCCGCATGATACCAAGCCATTGGAAACAAACGTCGGTTAGCGTATTGCAACACTTCTCGAAGAAGTATGCGGCAAAGATCATGTCTCCTCATCAGCTTCTGCCGCTGTGGACAAAATCCCCGAAAAAGGTCTCCGAAAGTTCGCGCGGCTGCTGCGGCCGCCGAAAATCATTGGTCATCCTGACCAAAAAAAAAAAAACATTTTGTGGAGCCTGTTAGCCTGTTACCTGTTACACACAGGGGAGATATCGCTATGTACTTGTACTGCTCGGGGAATCGTAGAAACACAGGTACAAGCCTCCGCTGACGTTATGGATTCATCGCTAACTTATCCTGGACTCATCTATCTGCGGATAAAAGACAGAGATGGGTTCGTTTGTGTTCTACTCATTTCGGAACAATGATAAAAAAAAAAAGCTGCCTGACCTGGGAGTGGGAAGCCGTCTTGGCTCTCTTTGGCCCAAGGGTTGCTTGTTCCTCCGCAACCGCATCACATCAGGAACCTGAACTGGACACCAGTCAACGATTGACGCTTATTCGCATCCCGACGAGGTCTAAAGGGCGCTGTTTGCGTCTGATCGTCTTGCTTAACACTGGCGTGTCTTGAACGACCCACAGGATAGTTTGGTCGGCGTCCAAAACGCAGGAGAAACAAACGTACTCGTGCACCACAAGACCAGAGGACCTACAGCAAGGGTGGCATACAGGCACAGCAGGGTTTGTTGTGGCTCAGCGGTGCACAGGAGGGAGGGAGAGAGAGGGATATCGGTCTGGCGGATTGAGGAGGAGGAGGAAGAGAGGGCGAGGAGAGAAGTTGCTGAGGTAAGCGTTCGTGTCCTCTTCCTTTCCCATACATGTACTCTGCAGCTTCACTTCGGGCCGCTCGCCGGAAGATGGCCTTCCTATCAAATCCTCCTTTGTTTGTATGTATTCCATTCCTCTTCTCCTGTAAGAGCAGTAGGTAAGCACATCTTGTAGTAGTCTCGCGATAGTGATGTTCCTCCGGCCACACAACAGCCAACAGCCAATTGTAGCAGCGTCGCTCCTGACGGGGCACAAGCCATTTCACCGCAGGAAAGCAACGACAGCAGGAACGGTCCCTGAGCTCACCCCGCGGAGGGGCTGTGCGATAGGCCGCATGGCAGCAGAGGGCACCGCTGTACAAAATGTGCGTGACGTTTTCGCCGTCGTTTGTTGTTGTGAGATTACGTGGGTTGGAGTTTGAGCCTTGGGTGGAACGCGTACTCCGGAGAAAAAATATTAGAGTCACAGGTAGTACTAGTGCTGTATTTAGTTCTGCGCGCACAAAGCACGTGAGAGCGCCAGGGCCGTGCGTGTGCTGACGAGGTGCCGTAAAATTATGAAACCGGAAGTAACAAGATCGCCACGTCTTTTGTCAGCTCTGTTGGCCAGGAAATTAGATGTATCTACAGCACTAGACTAGACTAATCCGCAAAAACAAGATAATAAATTAGCCCAACGTATCCAGGCGGTTTTCTTCCCACTCACGGTGAAGACTTCAACACATCTCGTTGGGCTGTGGTATTATCTCGAACGGGTACAAGACAATGTGTTGTTTGTACTCAAGTATAAATAAGCGGCGTAGCCTGAACCCCCCGCCTAGACCGATTTTCGAAGGTCTCTTGCTCCACAACCGACGTAGTGCCAACGCCAACAATGGTTGTTTTCGGAAAACATCTCGTCGGGGGCTTCCCGTTGGCGTCTCGGCTCTCTCCGCACCCCCCTTTGTTGCGGAGCAATCGAATCGAGCTTTGAAACTCTGTCTATGTGGAGAGGGTGTACTCTCTCCGCCTCTCACCCTAGACGACACAAGGTAACACACCCCGATGATAACATTTTGGGCTTCAAAGATATTGTCACCGGGTGTGGTACCCTGTGGGGGGGGGGGTGTTATCTTATGTAGCCCGGGTGATAAAGCGCAGCTCGCAGGGGCCCTTAAAGGGGGTGTCATAAACCAGGGCGTGTGATAGCACGTCCGAACACGCACAGGGGATGTTTGAGGTGTGATAAATGAAGGGGTTTGATAGAAAGGGGGTGTAGACCATTAGCACGTCCGAATACCCACAGGGTGTGTTTGCGGTGTGATAAAAAGGAGGAGTTATAACACTTCTTGTAGAGTTAAAAAACCGCTGCTGCCGCACACTTGGTTGGTATTGCGGGGGTGTGATAGCAATGCCTGTACGAACACTTCATGACTTGTGGTTCTGCGGAACGTGGTAAAACAAGGGAGCTCAACGGAGGTGACGAAACTCCTGAGCACATGACTCGGTGGGTACAGAGTGCGCCATCCGTCCTGCCCGCTCACACAAAAGAGTAGGCTGCTGCATACCTTGCTATTGGGTACGACCAAAAGAGAGTTTCGCAGATGTTGTGCGTGTGAGATGCCCACATACCCACAGGGCAGATGTTGTGTATTACCCCGGTGATAGAAGGAGGAGCCCCGTGAATGTATGCGGCGTAACCTCAAGGGGTGTGTTATCTTATGTAGCCCTGGTGATAAATCGATGGTTTGTCAGAGACGCCCATAATTTTACCGGGGTGTCGGATTCTGTGGGGGGTGTGGTTTCTTATGTGGGTGTGTTATCTTGTGTCGTCTACGGCATGCACGCGGTTGACGCGACGCTTGTACGTTCTCTTTGAAGGAATTTGTTTTTTGGAAAGTCGAGATTTGGGCACGGACAAGTTCAGGGATTCGAGGTCGCACGTGTTGAGGTTGATGCAGAAGCAAGGGCCTTGGCGCATGTTACCGGGGACCACCATGGCTACAGTTCACCACAACTTCCGCTTGCCAGCTGTTTATTACATAGTGTTTGGTGCTTAGATGGTGTGAAAGCTACCAATAGTGGAGCACCTCCGTCCAACCCAGCAATCACACGAGACGCTGCAACAGGCCTGCTTGCAAAGCCATTTTGGGCATGAAGATATCCGTTGGTTGTCGCAATGAGCAGCGGTTGGGGCTTGCCTCGACCACGTGCACCATCTATCTCTCAATCCAAGAAAAGAAATTGCCGATGCCGGGGGTGCTCAATGAAAGTCTCGGCGCTTTAGGAGTCTTCGTACCCTTGTTCAACGTGAAGACAACAACAACAACAACAACCCTTGTCTAGTGATGGTCTCGAGGTCAAAATGCACGACCTTTCCTCGCGACGGTTTTTGTTTCCGGCAGGATTTATTTATATATGTCAAGCAATCTGTAGTAAAAAGCGACCTACAGTAGTATGCATATACACACTTGGGCTTCACGGTCGACGAGGGAAAGGGGTGGCTGGACTCTCCTCGCGATAGAAACTAAGGCGAGCACCGCAGGGGGACTAAAATAAACAAAGTAAATACAGAGCTCGTGTGTGACATTCCTCTTGTGTGCCCCCGGCTATGCGTGTAGAACTGGCGCCAACATAATTGCCACGAACACACACGTCCTTACATGTTCTGTCTACATGTAAGAGGGCAGCGTGGAGCAGGTGCACAACCATGTATGTGCGTGCACGTTCATCAGAGTTGGCGGCTGGGACTGACTGTTGTGCTATCAAGGCTGCGGCCGATTATCGAAAGATCCGTACATCTGCAGCATCCAAACCATTCATCTTCCGCCGCTGCGGTACTCGCCTTTCGAGCCCGATGTTGGGTAGATATGTATCTAGATAGTGAACGGGTTTTGACCTAGCGGCAGGTTGATTGGTGGAGCGTGTCCTGGAGTGTGGTAAACTTTTCCGCCTACTGTTGTTGCCTCGCTCACTTGAAGACCTCCGATGCCGGCCGGCCACACAAAGAGAAACTTGTGCGGTGTGCTGTGTCCAGTAAATATGTCACATCCACGGCATGTGTTGATTCTCTGCTATTCGCTCGTTCCGATTCTCTTGTCCCCCCAATTCTTCCACTCTGCCTCCACGCACGCCCACTCTCTCCGTCTCCGTCCCCTCCTTAAAAACAACAGTAGTCAGCAGGAGAAGGAAGAGAAAGAAGACCGAGCCGGTATCTTCCGGGTTGGCATTCAGCACCCGGCCTTTCTCCGGCAGCACCAGAACCATCACCAGCTGCGGCGATTGCTGTCAAGCTCCCGATGGGGCGGCGGCAGCACCACCACCACCATATGCCCGCGAGGAGCGCGTTCCCTCTGCTATTGCGCCGCGTGGCCTGCTTGCTATCGCTCCGGGCGATTGGGTGTGATGCGGTGAGATGGCACGAAGAGCACCGAGATGCCGTACATCCAGCACATACGGCGGTTTTGGTTGATTGCTCTGCTTGTTGCGCCAGAACCTGATTTTCCATGCTTCTATAGGGACGGTCTTCTTTCTCATCAGCAGCACCAACCGGCATTAACATGTATTCAGGCCGTAGGCGCAGATGCAATATGTGCAGATGCATGACCAGAGCGGCCGAACAATGTAGATGCTGATGATAGCACCTGGGGATGCAAGACACCAAGGACCTCATTTTTTTTTTTTCTGGAAATGAGTGAAGTTGTTGTCTGTTTGTCGACGGAGAACTCCTCTTTCGTGTTCGGCGAACCACCTATTTTCCTAGATATTATTCCGAAAACGGCTCTAAGACTCCTGTCTCTTTTTTAAGAGCTGCTCGTTCCATCTACAAGGTTTAACAGCTGCCGAACCTCGCCGCTGCTGCCGTACGTTTTGTAGGGACTATTTCCGCGAGGCGGTTAGACCATACGTGCTTTGGCTGACGATATGTCCCGATTTACCCCTCCCTTTTTCGTGTCATTTTTGTTTTTTTTGTCGTCATATGTATACCCCATATTTTGGCGGCTTCACGGCGGCGGCGGCGGCGGCGGCGGCGGGCAGTTGTACGCAAGGAGTACCCCTGGAGAGCCCCCAGAGTACTGCACCTTGTTCAACCACATGGTGAAGAGCGGGGGCTCTACCATCAAGGACAAGTTGGAAATTGCCGCCTTGGAAGACATGGTTCAAGGACCAGGTGCGGGCGGATGACTGTTTCCTGCGATTGCCACCGCGGTCTTTTGTCGCACTTGTTGGCACCCTCCCCCGTCCGTCCCGTGCGTGTTGCTGGGGACACCGCCGCACCATGAAGACCAGCACTTTGCTGGTGTGGTTTTGTTTTTTTGTTGGTTTGGTGGTGGTGGTGCGGTGACCATGCTGTTGGTGTTGAAAATTCCCTGGACACGAAAGAGGGGGGAAAAGGGTGCTCAACTCTGCTGGGATGATTATTTCAACCAAGCTCCGCAGGAGGAGGCACGGCGGGGGGGGGGTGAAGAACTCTATCGTTTACCTTCGTCCTGCTGTGTGACCCCGGCTGGGGGTTAAACATTGTTCCGAAGGGAGTGTTCTAGCCTGGCGCCCAGAATAGACGGGAAGAAAACACACCCGCATACGGGGTTCCAGATCATGGCCTTTAGAGTTTTCAGCCGCACTGGGGCTTCTTTTCATTGGTCAGCCGGTTAGCGCGGTCAATGCTATTAATAGTAACAAACACAGACACATACACACGTGACCTGACGCTCCTTTCATGGGATCCCAGGTTGTGGGCTTTGGAAGCGTGTCCCATTTGTAGCCGCTCTGAGACTTTGACGTATTTTCATTGGTCAGCTCGCTCGATGCTAGGAATACTCCATGGTCCAGATGTACTTGGATTGCTTGCCATCCGGGAAAACGTTTTGACACCATCGCTGTCGCTGGTGCATGTGGCAGCGGGGAGTGCCTGCTTGGACCGTTGCATCTAGCTCCCCCCCCTTCGCACGGGTATTTCTATTTTAAGTAAATATGTTGGATACAGCATGCTATTGGGGGAGTTGGTTTAGGGAATACGGTCTGCGTACCCCCTCCCTGTTCTGTTTCCTCATAACACTTACTTTATTATTCTCGCGAAGTCGGTCGTTTTAATTACAACGTGTCTGGCAACACTTTCCTTTACACTTTTGCACCATTGCTACGCCAAGTTCTTGTGCTTCTGCGTACTACTGCTGCTGTACCACCCCCAGCCCCACTCGCTGCCGTTGACAACCCAACCGAATCTTCCGCCATCCTCCCCCCATCGCCCACGAACATGCTCCTTCACCCCGCCCGCTGTCAACCCAGCGATGTGCGTGAATGGGATTGGTTACGAGGATAGCTGTCTGAAGGCCATGAACAGCGCTCCGGTCATTGTGGGATACGCAGAGCTTTTGAGGTGAAGATGATGTCAGTGTAGAAACGACAGCAGTAGGAGTAGTTCACGGTTACGGTTGATTTATTGCAAGACATCGCGGAATACGCAGAGCGTTTGAGGTCCCAAAATGCCACCCAGAGAACGGACAGCGGTAGATGGGACAGTACGGTTTACGGTTGTTTTTTCCCGGGCATGGAGGGGCAGGAAATCGCGTTCCAGCACTTGTTTCTTGGTGGGTGGGTGAGGTCAGACTCTTGGGAATGGGTTCGGTGACTTCCGCTTCAAGGACCCCGAAATGGCCGTCACTATTTTTTACACTCAAGACTGCGCGTTCTAGATATAACCTGTCGAAGGGGGGGTGTTGAGGCCTTTTCAGGGTGACTGGGATAAACGCCGGCTGGGTGGCTCATCTCTTGTAACTCTTATTGTACTCTTTCTGCCAAAGGGTTTGATGCAGTCACGTGTTACTGCTTGTGCATGTTTTTGTTTTTCCGTTTCCGCCGCTCGCGATGCCCCTCCCTTGCCTCACCCACCCCGCGGAGCTCCGGTCAGGGATCTGCTACACACAAGAGTGTCTTCCATTGCGGCCAATTTGTTTTTTGATACTTTCGCAAGAGGACTTTCTTGCATATTTTTTTCAATGAACCCCAAGAAAAAGAGGCTTACAGGATATTGCACGTACTGTACTGTATGCATAGATGATGCTGTCTTGTCTATTCACGTCCTCCTTGTACTGTTCCTTGTTTTTTCCCGACCCGGCGAAGAAATGGCAACACAGGATACTGGACTAAGTTTGGGAAGCTAAAGTGTATAGGTTTACGCATGGGATTCCCCAAGTGTATAGCTTTTAGTATGGGTGATATATTTGATTGTAGGGAGATAGGAAGATGTTGTTTGTCTTTTGTACGTCCTCCTCCTGTGCGTATTACTTTTGTTGGGGACCGACGCTTTATCTTGATATTGCGTGTCTTTGCCCTCTGCTTGTGTTTCCTCAAGGTATCCGTTGGAGGTCATCGGCCGAAAGTGCGAGTACTTCACCGTGATGAGACATCCGATAGATAGGCTGCTGTCAGCCTTCTTCTATTGTCCCGCCGACGGTGACGTGCAAGACAGGCCAACGAAGGTAATATATACTTGCGCTTATAAGACTACCACTTTGTTAAGATTTTGCTATATTAATAGAAAGGCTGCTGTCAGCCTTCTTCTATTGTCCCGCCAATAGGTGACGTGCAAGACAGGCCACCAAAGGTAATACTTCTGTATACGTATGCGTATAAGACTGCTATTTTAAGATTTTGCTGTATTGATTTTCATATTTTGTTCCGACGGTGACGTGCAAGACAGGCTACCAAAGGTAATATATACTTATGCATATAAGACTGCTTTTAGTAAGATTTTGCTATTAAGATTTGCATTTTTTTGTTCGTTTTTGTTCGTTGAGGTTCGCTGGGCTCTTTTCGGGTCAAAAAGTCGTCGGTCAACTGTGTGAGCTGTTCGAGGTTATTGAGAAACGTTTGCTGATGGCAGCTGGCAGCTGATTCACACCTGCTTTACTTTCATCTGGTATCACGCCTTGATGGCACCACTACTTAGCTCGGATGCGTCCACTCAGGCGCGCCTTTTGTATTTCCATGTATACTTTTTTTTTATGACGATACGAGTGTGTTCATATCCAACTTCGCAGCAAATTTCGAGTAGAGTAACTATGGCGCTGAATTTTGTTCTTTTTTTTTTCGTATGTATTTTTTTCTGTTCGTGGGCGATATGTAGATATGAAGGTGGTTCATACTGCCGTACTGTATCGTGAGTGTGTCCCTTTTGCCACACATAGTTTTGCTATCCAATAGATTTGTCGACACATTCCCCACGAGGTTCAGACAAGCGGAAGATGACGGGAACGGGTGGATTGATGATGATGATGGCGTACTTGGTGTCGTGAGATTTTTCATTTTGTTTTTGTTGTCATGACCCAAAGATATATCCGGAAATATGTTGCTCTTTGCATGTTTGCTGATTTGTGTTGAGTCTCGTTGTGGGGGTTATCGCCCCACATTCAGCAAGCAGCCATGATGTGTGCCGTGGTACAACACAGTGCGCGCCAGCAGGGTCGAATCCCACCGCACACCGCCTCTAACTCCACCTGACACGAAACGGAACAATAAATACCGCCGCTCAGGACCTAATCCCACCGCACACCGCCTCTAACTCCACCTGACACGAAACGGAACAATAAATACCGCCGCTCAGGACTTAATCCCACCGCACACCGCGCCTCACTCCCACTGACCGCTCTGCCATGCAGTGGTGCGGCTACGCGAACGACCCGCAGCCTGTGACAGATCGACTGGTAGAGTTCGCCGAGTACGGCTGGAAGAACAAGGCGTTCAGGCAGATGACCTTTGGCCTGTACTGCCCACCCAACGCCTTCTGCGAGCAGGCTGAGGTAAGGGCCGTTTTAAACCCCGGCTGTTTTGCTTCCGCAATTGTTTTTTCTAAATTTTTCTACATTCTGACGTTCGTCGCAGATTTCAACTTTTTCCCAACAATTTTGGAATCAAGTCGTTCCAAAAAAAAATCGGTGCCAAGATTTTTTGTTTCAATATCCATTTTTCCATTTTTTTTCCTCGGCCGCAGATCGAGATTCCACATACAATGGTCTACGGATTTGAAAGTTGGAAATTTGGAAGCTAAATAACTGCTGTGTAAAACGGCTCTTAAGCCGAGGAGCTGCTGGCATGACATGGCATGGCATATGGCTGATCCTTGATTATTTTGTCGTCCTTCTCCGTTGGCTTGGCTTGTTTTGCGTCGTTTTTCTTGTCCGTGGTGATGCTTTCATTTTGTTTTGGTGTTGTTGATGCTGGGTCGGGTTTATTGCTGTTGTGTATTTTTCGCCGTGCTTTTTGTTGCTTTGCTTACGTTGCTTCGCCGCTGTGCGGACTTGCCTTTCTCGCTTTCTGATGTTATATTTATACTTGAAGTGCTGTGGAAAAGTTCTTGAATACGGTGTAGACAGCGGTTTCAAATTTGAAGCCTTTCTATCACTATCTCCACTAATGCTCTACTGGCATCCATCCAACCAAACGGCCTGAAGAACAAAAAGTAAGCGATCGGTAGTCTATTTCTTGAT